AAATTTATTTTGCGAGCCAAATTTTTAAAACTTAAACTATATAGGTAGGTACATTGTTATTAACTTAATTAGGGTACTCCTAAGGCTTAGGAAGAGCCACACTCAAGAGGCCAAAGAGCCGAATGTGGCTCTCGAGCCGCAGTTTGCCGACCACGGGTCTAGGGCATGGGAAACAGGAGGTAATCTAATTGGTTCAGGATAAAATAAGGAAAATATTTTTACTTACCTGAGTCAGAGGTAGAATGAGAGGTTTAAAGAGTTTAATGTCATGCTTTTTCTGATACAATGTCATCTCCGAGGAGGCCCTGTAAACTGTGAAGTGAGGGGAAGTTAGTGGTTGGGCAGATAGTTACATTGGTGGAAGTGACCATCCTCATCACCTGGCCCATGACATTTCTAACTGACCTTGACAAGTTACTGGAACCATTAGGCCCAAGAAGTAGGTAAAACTTTAGGACCTGCCCAGATGTAGCAACTCCTGACTTAGGTTGTTTCCTTCCCTCTGCAGAATGTCAGGAAAAGTGTAAATGTGGTCCCACGCTCATCCTGCAATTGACTCACACTCAGCATGGTCTCCTGCCAACTTGGCCTCTCTGATTCGAGTGGAAAACTTCTGGATCTCTGGCATGTGGTTGTGGATCTTGGCTGCCTCTCGTTGGCCCTTCACAATGAGAGGAAACACCAGGCAGCGGGCAAGGACTGTACCTACAAAATACACAGAAGGATTGGAGTAAAATTAAAGCAGTTCTGCAGCTAGAAGGTTGAAGATTTCTAGGTTCTCACTGAAAGGATCTCTCTTATTATAGTCTTTCCACTCTGTGACTCATACCTAAGGGACCTAAACAAAGTGTAGGGATATGAGTTAGTTTCTTCAAGGCTCAGTTCTCTGCTTTGACATCACAAAAGTCTAGCAGTAACTTCTCTAAACAAATGATCATGAATCTAGTTTGTTTACTTGAACAAAAGGCGATAGTAGGTACTTTTCTAGACGAATGTTTTCCAAACTTTTCTGTCAATGGAACATCTTCCTCTCTGCTCCCAACTCTTAGTCGCAATATGTATAACAGATAAAATCAAGCTGTCCTAGGTGAGGGGACAGACAGTCTGGCTGTAGGACTGTTAAAGTTCTGGACTTGCTTTGCTCAGAGGTACCTTTACAGAACTCTGGGGTTCTCATGAATAAAGTTTAAAAGCTGCTGTCCTAGAAACCTCTGGAGCAGGAGATAATATGGTGGCCTGCTGTTTTAAGCTCCTTCCTATTTATTTCTTTTTTAAAAAAATATTTTTCATTGACTTTAGAGAGAATGGGAGAGGAACAGAGAGATAAAAACATCAATGAGAGAGAAACGTCATTAATCGGCTACCCCCTGCATGCCCCCTACTGGGGATCGAGCCTGCAATGTGGGCATGTACTCTGACTGGATATTGAACTGGTGACCTCTTGGTTCATGGGTTGACACTCAATCACTGAGCCACCCTGGCCAACCCCTATTTCTTTTTTTACAATTCATATTTCCTGATTACGCCAACAAATATTTATTTATGGTATGTATAGATAAACAAGTGGGTTTGGCTAAAAAGAGATGGGAGTTGGGGAGAGATACAGGTTTAGGCTTTACCAACATTGTGATGATAATGTGCCGTGGAAAGAGAGGAGCTAAGAATGGAACCCAGAATACCAGGACTGAAAATGGGAAGGTGCAATCAGAAAGTTGGAAGAAAATCAGAAAAGACTGTCACGAAAGCCAAGGAATATATTTCCAAGTCTGAAGTGTCTAACATAGAAAGGTCAACTATAAAAAGAAAAGTGGATTTAGCAATAATGCAACTGGCAATTAAAATGAAGCGGCATTGATGAAACCAAGATGGCGGCATAGGTAAACACCAGAAATTGCTGCCTCCCACAACAAATTAAAAATTACAACCACAAGACAAAACGGACATCATACAGAACTACAGGAAGGTTGGATGAGTGGAAATTCTACAATTAGAAGGAAAGAGAAAAGCACACTGAGACTCAGAGGAGGTGCGGTGTGGAAGTAAAGTGCAGAGGTACAGAGGCACATGCGGCAAGGGCTGGTGACTGAGGACACGGCTGTCATTTTGAATCGGGAGGGAGTCACAGGCCCCCGATTGCTCTGAACTCTGGTTCCAGTTCTGGGAAGTCTCTGGGGACCCAGACTCATGCGAGGAGAGATTGGACGGTCTGGCAGTGGGCAGAACTCAGAGGTGCTTGCAGCAATTATGGGACACTGAGACGTGGGGCCCCTTAGGGCAGGGCTGAGGATCAGCCATAGCTGTTTGCTCGCCCTGTTGATCCCCTGAGACCCTGCCTCACCCATGATTCCGCAGAGGCTTTTGCATATGAATGCCCTGGCCCTTTGCAATCTGAAAATTAACTAGCAAACTGCAGCTGGGTCAGAGAGACCCAGAACTTCCAAGAGAAGGCCCAAGGCCCCACAGCAGCTTGCACTGCTTCACAGCTGGGCCTCATTTGGGCACCTCCAAACCCCAAACAAGGAAGGGGAATCTGCAGATCTCTTCCTAGCTCCTGCTGGGTAGCCTCATGCAGAGGCTAAATTAGCACCTCCTCAGATCCAAGAGCCAGTGTACCCAGTGGTCAGAGGGGGACCATCTGGATTACAATTCCTCAGATCCATAAGGGACACACTCAGGGGGCAGACTCTATGAGCACCAAAGCCCCACTGAAGCAAGTCTTGCTCCAGAAGGGTGTCTCCAGCACAGAAGTTCTCCCACCGTAGACACAGCTCATTCTCACAGCCAATTGGCCTGGAGGTCAATCCCTGCCAGTGATACCTACAACAATCAAGGCTTAACTACAACAAGACTGTGCACAAAGCTCACAAAGGGGTGCACCAAGAGTGTCCACCTCAGGTAATTGGGGAGGCTGAGCCACTGGGCCCTATAGGACACCTAGCACACAAAGCCACTCTACCAACACAGGGAAGCATAAAAAATGCGGAGACAAAGAAACAGGACACAAATGACAGAAATGGAGGAAAGCAAACGACTGGATATAGAGTTCAAAACCACACTTTTAAGGTTTTCAAGAACTTTCTAGAAACCACCGATAAATTTAGTAAGACCCTCAAAAAGTCTGGTGAGACCACCGATAAATGTAGTGAGACCCTCAAGAAATCTAGTGAGACCCTCAAGGTTATGAAAAAGGACCAACTAGAAATTAAGCATACACTGACCGAAATAAAGGATATTATGCAGATTTCCAACAGCAGACTAGAGGATCTCAAGAATCACGTCAAAGATTTGAAATACGAAGAAGCAAAAAACACCCAACCGGAAAAGCAAAATGAAAAAAGACAAAGATAGTGTCAGGAGCCTCTGGGACAGCTTTAAGCGCACCAACATCCGAATTATAGGGGTGCCAGAAGAAGAGAGAGAGCAAGATATTGAAAACCTATTTGAAGAAATAATGACAGAAAACTTCCCCTACCTGGTGAAAGAAATAGACTTCCAAGTCCAGGAAGCGCAGAGAACCCCAAACAAAAGGAATCCAAAGAGGACCACACCAAGACACATCATCATTAAAATGCCAAGATCAAAAGACAAAGAGAGAATCTTAAAAGCAGCAAGAGAAAGACAGTCACTTACCTACAAGGGAGTACCCATACGACTGTCAGCTGATTTCTCAACAGAAACTTTGCAGGCCAGAAGGGAGTGGCAAGAAATATTCAAAGTGATGAATGCCAAGAACCTACAACCAAGATTACATTATCCAGCAAAGCTATCATTCAGAATTGAAGGTCAGATAAAGAGCTTCACAGATAAGAAAACGCTAAAGGAGTTCATCACCACCCACTAAACCAGTATTATATGAAATGCTGAAAGGTATCCTTTAAGAAGAGGAAGAAGAAAAAGTTAAAGATACAAATTATGAACAACAAATACACATCTATCAACAAGTGAATCTAAGAATCAAGTGAATAAATAATCTGATGAACAGAATAAACTGGTGATTATAATAGAATCCCCTGATTCATAAAAAGGGAGTGGACTGACTATTCTTGGGTGTGGGGGATGCGGGAAGAGACTGTACAATAATCGTGCACCTATGAATGCGTGAGGGCGGAGGGGGGGAGGGGGAGCATGGGAACCGGGTGGAGGGGAGCTATGGGGGGAAAAAAGAGGAACAACTGTAATAATCTGAACAATAAAGATTTAATTTAAAAAAATAAAATAAAATGAAGTAAAAGCCAGATTGCTGAGGATCAAAGAGTGGAAAGAAATAAGTAAGCCCACTGGATGCAGAATACCCTTTTAAATAACAGCTATGAGAAGGAGAAAGACAGCATAGTAGAAGTTAAAGGTGAACTAAAGATAAAGGGAAAAGATTTCCTTCCAAGAAACACATGGTATGCTTGAGCATGTTTGTATGTTCAGAGTAGGGCAGTAAAAAGGGAGTTAAAGACACAGGGAGATGATCGCTGGAGCATGTGTAGGAGGATACAGAATCTGAAGCATAGTGTTAGCCTGCAATGTGAGTGTCTTCCCAATTCTGGGGTTTAACTGCTTGACCTGACCTTCTACTCTCCTGAACCAGGGCAGCTTCATCACTGTTAACAAGGTCCTCTTGCTCTAACCCCATGCTCACACTCAAATATCTACACTTCTTGAATTACAGATGATCTAGTGGTATTATAATGCCCTTTAGGAAATATAGGTAGAATGTAACTAGTATCATGAGCCTTTATCCCACATTTGAATCATCTGTTTTTTCTGACCCTTAAACTTTTGCACTATTTCCTTGACCCCCTCTCAGAACTGCTATTCTTTAGTTCTCTCCCTAAGTCCCCATTTTCTCCAGGATCCCTTTCCAGGATGCAGTCCTCTTACACAGAGCAATGGCCCCCCACCAAGGGAGGCCAAGGTCAACATGCATATATTCCATTAGGTTCTGGATCAATCCCACTGGGGTATATGATCCCAGCCCAAGTTCAGCGAAGCTCTGTTCTGCAGCAGCTTGGACTACATCTGCAGTCTCTCCAGAAGCCACCTCAGTTACTGCTGTGGGTGAGGGCGTTGCAGGAATGACCGGAGGGGCCTGAACCTGTGCAAAAGGAAGCCATGTGTGATATTCAGTAGGTGGGACACAGAAATTGAGGGTTCCCTTATGATAACCAGTACTGTGTTGTTCTCCTAACTCTACTTCTTGTTTTCCCAGGTTAGCCTACATGTCCACAGAACTCAGCTCTTAAAAAGAACATTTTATTTCCCCCCCAAAGTAGGAAAATAACTTCCTTATAGTAAGATTTCATGAAAGTTATTTCTTGCATCAGTGCTTTCCAAACTTCATTCATTTGAGTATCACTGTTATGATTTTGTACACACTCAAACTATTGTACTTATTAATTTC